ATATATATGTACATTCATATTTTCAATATTTGTATTATTGAAGGAATATCCCTCCATATGTTCTTTGTGTTGAGGTTTATTTAAAATACAACGTCAACTGAATCGTTTACATAATAAAAGAAACAGAAGACTGAAAGAAATTAGAATTTCAAGCTAAATCTTTATTACTTTAACATTCTGAAATTTACTGATAGTGTATCCATTTCTGTGTATTTAAAAATTCAGCCAAAAACAAACCGTTGAGAATTACATCTCAATATCTACACCATATTTCAGATACTAATAAGTACCTGCACTATATGACAGATACTTCATCAGATAACTACCTGTCCTAGATGTCAGAGAATACATGTCTCCTGTAAGAGTAAAGAACTGATTCACTGACAGTACCTTAAGTACACACTTTAAATTGCATAAAACCCTATTAATAGTGCTTGTTTTTGTTCATTTATTACAATTTTATTTACAATTTTATTCAATCCATTAAACCTGACATTGAATGAATACTGTATATCATTTGAAAGACACAATACTATATGGATGTTAAAACCTTACAAATTAAAAAAAACAAGTGAAGGAAAATATAACTACTGCAAAAGTAAGCAAAAATTATATATTAAAAAGTAAATGTTAAAAAAGCAACAAGACAAAAGGTGGAAAAAGACATTGAAGATGGGTTATTTAATATTGTCAACTGGGCTTCATGGATACCAATTACCTTCAATTATATAGACAAATAGGCATGGTGTGGCCATTAAATAATATGACTAGGCTTATATAATTAAAAAATTAGTACACATACATGAACTATATAGAATGTATTAACCAATGAGCAAGCAGAAGCAACATTTGCAAGTTTCAATTTGTCCATGACTATATTTCACTCTTGCACATTAATTGAAGTAGACATGTTTTTCCTGACATGTTGTCAAAATAGTCAGTTTGAAAACCAAGCAACATACCAGTTTTACATTTTTGTTGAAATTGACCAAAATGAATGCCAAATCTTTTCATTTACTAACTGAAGTTTCTAAGAAAGAATGCATGTCACATGCTACATGTTCAAGTGATATAAAAGATTTTTGAGAGGATATTGAAGATGAACTTTTGTGATATTCAGATTTGCAGGCAAAATGTGCTTCTTAGTCTATTGATTGATGAACATAATATCTACAAATCATCTGATGGTGAACTGCTGCTCATTTTAAACAATTTGATTTTTTAACATTATTACTGGTCCTTGATATGCTATTCATCATCCTCTCAAGATGCACAAAATATTTTGTGCCACTCAAACTCACATGTATGTGAAAGTGGATGTTATAGTTTGAGATATCTGTCACTCACAATTCATGCACATGATTCACTGGCAACCAATAAGTTATATATATATATATATATATATATATATATGTGCGTGTGTGAAGGCTGACTACTTTATAGACATGTCCATATATAATTCAGTAAATGTCCTGTGGGCACTGAACCTATCTGGCAAACTGACAAGGATCAAAATATACCTGATATGGATAAATATTTTCAATTTGGACTCACTACAAGGAAACTGGGCATACAACTTCCATTCAGTTTCAAGCAAAAATTTTACCCAGACATATTTTCAGAGCAAGCTGTGTTCAGCAATCTATCCTCACCAATTACAAAATCTTATATTACTTTTACCCTGTAAATTTTATAATTCTTTATATTGTGTTAGTTTTATCATTTTTGCTATTCCAATGCACTTTCAAATTTCTGTCACATTTCCCATTGTCTGTACTTTCCAAGTAGTTAAATTTGCTATTCCCTCCCAAAATAAAGATAATGAAAACAGATATGCTAAACAAATGAAAGTTTTTAAAGATCAATGGCACCAACAGTTGATTTATTTATCTGTTTACTATTCTGATTTGTACACATAATTATTCTAAATAATATTATCAAACATAACTAATTTTTTTATAAGAAATTTAACAAAGTGAAGTCAATGAAATGTTTTACACATGTTTTATTAAACTCTCTGAACAATTATTTAATTGAAAAATAGCTTTCATTTTAAAAGAATTTATTAACGTGAAGAAAATCATATAAATGTATTTCAAATCACCAATTTTTATTGAAAAGAATTCAAGTTGACAACAATGTATGTTTAGTGAAAATTGGAAATTTAATTCCTATAACTGGTTCACAAAGACATTGACTTATAAATGGTTCAGTGTGAGGAGAATTATAAACCTTCTCTATCCTTGTGTGTTATCTGATAATGGATAAGAGAGAGGAACTTTGAATATATTATGTCTATTCTGACATAAGAAGTTTAATCAACCATTGGAGATGTAATTTATAGCAGGATTACTTTCTACACCACCAACTTTAAATAATACATGGATTTATGAAAAATTATATAAATATTGTTCAGTCATTGACACAAATAATGCTGAGGATATACAAAACTATTTCACAATTTTTATTTTAAATTTATAGTTGAAAAAGATAATGAGCAACATTTTACAAATTAATCATACACATTAGAGTAACATTCACAGAGATTACTTATTGTGTTTCCACACCAGTAACTGGTGGCTTTCAATGGAAATCAATTTATATTTGCTAGATAATAAAATAAAGCATGAAAGAATAAATATAAATTATGATAGCACAAAAAAGAAAACTATATAATGTATTATTATTGTACAAGAGGTGTCGAAAAAAGTGTGAATGCATTTTTGATAAAAGGACACTCATTTAATAGACACTTGTCTAAAACTTTCTCAAAGTTTATCAGCTGAATAAAATAATAATTTATTTTGCAGGTGATTTTCACACTAATTTAATTTCTAAAGTATATCAGGTTCAGTCATTTTATATTGAAAATCATATAGTTTTATAATATGTACCAAGTATGGCATAAATATTTACTCATTATTTAAACAAAAAATTACCTATTATTTAAACATAAATTAGAACATACCTATCTGTGAAAATAGTTGCAGATTTTGTATAAGGATTCCTAACATTCTTTTGTTTTATTTCTTACATTTTAATTAAATATAGCAGCTCAAACAAAACATGATTAAATTGTTGCTGGTATGACGAATTGTGAGGTAATCAAAAAAAGTTGAAAATCTTTGTAGAAAAACTGTTTTTAATATATGGGAAATGTTTCAAGGGTAGTAAACAATAAAAAAAAAATGGCAGAAGGAAGAAAATATTGGAGGAGATGCAGCATACCACTAACAGGTCTTTGTTTGATTGGATGAGAAGTTTCTCACTTTGGAGGTTGCAGTCAACTACGAAAATGACAAGGTTTATGCCACTTCATCAGAAAACATTCCTGGAGATGTCAGAATACCTTTTCAAGTGACAGAACCTAATTGGTGTCATGGTTTAGGCTGCTGTTGCTTACTAATGGTTTGAAATTGCCCTTGGTGTTGATTAAAGAATGATGGAAAGTGAATATCAGTGTCTATCAGCAAATTTTATGGAGAGATATGTTGCCCTGGTTGTCAGCCACATTTGGAAGATTCTATATCTTCACCCAAGCCGGAGCTCCCTCACACATAATCAATTTGATGCAAAACTGGTGCGAGAGACATTTCAGTGGATTTTTTGACATGTCAGTTTGGCCTCCATCAAGCTCTGGCATTACTGCCACAGACTTTGTAATATGGCCCATATAAGAGAACAGTCTCATGTATCTCATATGCAAGTGTGTCAGACATGAAAGAAGCTCTTATGACATTGTGGGATAATTTGAGCAAAGAGGTGATGAAGAAGTAATGCACTTCAGTTGAGAAGAGATTAAGGGCTATGATGAAAGCAAAGGGTGGATATATTTAATTATAAATATACATAAAATATTGCTAATAAGTCTAACAATCAATCTGCAAGCTTTTATTAACCAAAACCTAAAACTTTTTATTTTATGATAAAAGGAATAAAATTTCAGATATAAAAAAATATATTTATGTAAAAGGACAATATGTATAAAGACAAAAGGAAAACTTATCTTAGCAAACACATTTCATCCTCTAATGAACTTTTTCAAGGCAAATTTAAGGATTTTATTTTGCATCAAGGATTTATAAACAAAAAAAAGTAAAAATATTAGATTTTCAAAATTTTCAAATTTAAGAATGCTCTTAAATATGCATGCAACTAACTGAAAAATTTACATAAATTATGGAAGATATTAAATGACATAGATTAATGCCTAATGAACAAAAGTCAGTAAATGTTTTTTTATTTATATTTTTTAACTAATGTAATCAATATTTATATTATTTTAGTTTGGGTTTAATTTATGTATTACATATTTTAAATAACAGAAACTTATGAATTTAGCCATTGTGTTTTCTTTTTTTAATATTTTTATAGTCATGTATATTGGCTTGTGAAAAGAGGAAATATCTCCGTTCCTGAAGGAATTACTCTTTTTCCAAGATATTCAGATATTCTGTCCATTGTATTCTTAGCATTCCTCTATGGAACCACATTGCCTCAAGTCTCCATTAGAGCAGTTAGAAAACTGTCCTAGATTCATTGCTATATGAAAAGATTCAGTACATTCAGTACAGTTTTCTTTGTTTCTAATGAAATTTTTCTGTTTCTTGATATTTTGTCTTGTATCTTTCACTATTCCAATATACCTTCAGATTTCTGTCTTACATTTTCCTATAATATCATTTTCAAAACACAGTAAAATGAACTGAGAGAATAGAGAGAGAGCAACAATGGATACCAGAGTTTGTACATTGAAAGTACAATATAGAATAATCTCATTCAGTCTCTCCATTAACATCAAAGGGAAAAGGCTGGTTTCATTAATTCTGTTTAAGGCACTCATCAAAGATTAAAATTTATAATTGCATGTCATGAAAAGTTTACAAATATCTAAAAAGTTACATTAGAATATTGGCAATATTTTATCTGTTTGACCTAAATTAATTCATTTAAATAAAAGTTCACACAAGTTTATAAGCCTAACTTTTTGCTTTTAGAGAATGTTACCCCAGGTTAAACATCATCTATCAAATCACTTTTATTTTATGTTGGGAACTTTCTTTCTCTCTCTCTCTCTCTCCTTCCCAACACGTCAAGTTGGCATCCCGGCAATGACAAACAATGAGTTGGCAACACGAACTGCAGTAACTAGTTGGCACTCCGGCAACGACTCAGCTTCAACCAACAACGATCATCCTGGCATCAACCAACATCAACTTCAACAACCACCAAGCGATCATCCTGGCAACAACCCACATCAGCTTCAACCCCCCAACGACGATGATCCTAGCAACAACCAACGCCAACCTTGACCATCAATGCCTGCAGCATCCAGCTCACTCCTGCAGCTTCCAGCTCACTCCTGCAGCTTCCAGCTCTCTCCTGCAGCTTCCAGCTCTCTCCTGCAGTTTCCAGCACTCCTGCAGTATCCAGCTCACTCCTGCAGCTTGCAGCATCCAGCTCACTCCTGCAGCTTCCAGCACTCCTGCAGCATCCAGCTCACCCCAACAGCTTCCAGCGGCCTCCAGCTCACCCCCTGCGGCACTCCACTGACGTCCCGCTACCTATTCCAGCACCTGCTGATGACCTAATCCAGTGCCTACTGACGACCAGCGCCCGTTTCCCGAACAAACGACCTCTGTCGTCTTACCATCCACCGCTCGCTAATAAAGACACGGTTTCCATCGTCTACAACGGACCATCTGTGTTTGTCATCCTTCTTTGCTATTGCTATCTCCTTGCCTTTGTGTCCCCTTTTTAGTTGTACGGTCGATTGGCACTCACACCTCTCGGCCCGCTGCAACAAATATAAGCACACACACATACATACATACATACATACATACATACATATATATATATATATATATATATATATATATATATATATATACTACATTTTATTTCTTTATAATATGTAAAAACCTGTGTTTTTAAGGCATATTCTGATTGTTTTATCAATTATAAAGGGGAAAAAGCACTTCTTCCTTGAATGTCTCTCATGAGCCATTCAAATAAAAAAAATATCTTCTATCAATTATAGTTGTTTTCACTTGATTGTAGATGCAAGCTCAGTATTTATGGCAACTACTGCATGTATAACACACTCTTATATTTAGGGTTTGTAATACAAGTGTTGCAATCTACAGTGTTATGATAGCTAGCTACTTACAGAACTTTCAAAGATCTCTCTTGTTCTGAGAATCAAATTTAGTGTGAATTTACTTTATTTTTTGGCTTTTATTTTGTAGAGGAAAAGAAATCTGCAAAAGAATATTTCCTAAAATCCAATAATCTGCTTCAGGATTTGGATTCAATAAGACCTGGATTCATGAATCGTGATCAACATTTTATTATGGTAGCCTGAGAAGGACATGTTCTCACTTTGTTTTAGACTTGCCAGATTTAGAGGAAATGATATTCAAAATAAGTCCATATAAAATGATAAATATATCTGCAATGAGAAAACTTGGTAAAAGTCTGGGCTATGAATAAAACAAATTTTTGGAATAATACAAAATTTCAAGCTTTCTTTTGGAAACTCAAAGATGATAACTAGTGTTTGAATGTTATAGCTGTTATGATGCAGTTGGGAGTAACATAGAAAAGGAATATGAAAAGAAAGGTAATACCCATAATTCAACATAAAATAAAAAGTGATTTGACTCAGAAGATTTTATGACAGCTGATGTTTAATCTGAGGTAACATTCTCTAAAAGCAAAAAGTTAGGCTTATGAACTTGTGTGAACTTTTATTTAAATGAATTAATTTAAGTCAAACAGATAAAATATTCTAATGTAGCTTTTTAGATATTTGTAAATTTTATTTATAAGATCAAAAAATGTCAATATTGGAATTTGACTTGTACTAATTTCTTGAATTAGCCAAGAATTTAGATTAAAATCTTAGTGGAAACTTAAAATATTAACATATCAAGAAATCAATGTGTCAAAAAATATTTATAGGATTTTAATGTCAAATTTCTGGAACACTTTCTGTAATCATTGATTAGAGGAAGTCCAGATTAGAAGTAATTTTAATCACTGTAAAAATTAATTATTTATAAATATTATTTCAGGTTTTAATGCACACTACTATTACAATGGAAAGATTAATGAAATTATTGCTATAAATATCATAACATTATCAATTGCTAATCATTGACAACTCCCTTGTTAGCTTCAAAACCTGATCATAGAAATTTTCCATTTCTAGTGTCACAGCAGTTAATTATCATTATACTAAGCATCTACCATTTGCAACTGTTTTAAACAACCATTTCCTCTGCCATCATAATTTCTATTGGTCAATTCAGATTTTGTTGGGGAGTGACATGAATGAGAAAAGTTGAGGAGTTCAAATTTTTAGTGAGATTGCTAACTGATATCTTTATTATCAATTTTAGATTGAATTTATTTACCACTTGGAAGGCACAAATATCCTTAGATTGCTTACAGTGTCAGAAGTCAAATGTTGAGTCTAAAGATCATATAAATTCTGAATCTCAAATCATACGGTGTAGCTTGAAGGGGAATTCAGCATCACTATGTCTTATTCATGTATTTGTAAAATAAATGATGCTAACACAGTAAAACTTTAATTATTTAGTTGAGTTAATTTAATTCAAATTTGAGGTTTGTAAAACTAATGCCTTTATTTGGAAGGGTGGCATTCTGCTATTGAAATTGGAAATTCTTGAATACTTGAAAACTTTGGAAGTTGATGAACTAAGAGTAAAATATATTTAATACTATTGTATTAAAAAAGACTTTATTTTCTGACCCAGAATTTTCATGCACTAATTTCCACAGTAGTCAATTATTAAAATTCGATGATATATATTTCCAACAAATATAAAAGTACACAATGTTGAGGAGTCAATTTGAAACACTGTGATGCAATTTTAGAGAATAATTGCAATTTATTTTTAATTTTATTATTTTATGATGCCAACACCTTTCACTTTTTATGAAAGCTTTTGTGAATAAAATACTAAATTTATTTTAGTATGCTGATGCATTTGTTTTTTTATAAAATCATATTCACTTAAAATAAAACAATCTTTTTCTGTTTTGATGTTATGTCCTTTTAAAATATAGGTGATCATAGATCTCTCCAGCTTCATTTTTCTTTAATATCAGTAAACTGTTCCTTGCTATGGTTATTTTGGCGAAAATAGTGCCACTACCTTATTCCCAGTTTTGTCCTTCCAACCAAGGAAACCCAGTTTTCCCTGTTATTTTACCCATAACTGCAGGGGAAATGAAGGATTTATTGTTTACAACCATGGTATTAAAGCAAAATGAGCAGAAACTTTCAAAGCCAGACTTGGTTCATTAATTTTATTTTTTGTACTCTTAAATGTTTGTCACTTTGAACTAGTTTCACACTCTTAGTAAAAATGGAAACAAACTTTTTGTAATGCTTGTGAGTGAAGGCTGCAAATTAAGAAATAGTTTCTCTTCTGATTTGATAAAGTCACTTAAGATAATTAAAGATTTTTGTCTTCAACAGTTGTTATAATTTGTTAAAAAAACTTCTTTAATATTCCAGTTCCTGAAGATTCTTAACCTGATGAGTAAAAAGTAATTTAATGTCTTATACATTTATCAGGAAGCAGGTGTTCCTTCATTCTTTTTATATTCATATGCATTAAAAGTGCATCCAGGTATGAACATGTCACTTATCATTTGTCAATTGAAGCAGAACATGTTTCAAGTTCCATTTGACCTGACTGGAAATTTAAGACATCATGATATCATAATACTACCAGCAGACTTTAGCTGAGAGAGTTACCATTTACTATTCCAGCAAAATCATTGATTAGTATTTTCAAACTCACTAACATTGACAGCAAATGGTTACTCATTTATAAGAACAAAATTCACTTTTAGATTTAGAATCATTATTTATACAGAACTATTATGAGAGTGATTTGCATGAGATCACCTTCACCTAGTCTTCACATAACTCACAGTGATGTGAAAGTAAAGATACAATAGCAAAATGAACTGAGTTAGAGTTGGAATAAAAGAAATTAAGGTTCATTTTTTTTTTCTCAAAAGCTTTCTTATGAAATGGAACTGGCTGTGGCAACTCAGAATTTAAAATTGTTTTGTTAATCCTATTCTCAGCCATCTATTAGATTATTTAAATTCTGCACACATATTTTGGGGGTTGTAACAATATATCTATTTTCTGTTTGTTTTCATTAAAAAACGTATAGCAAGCAAAATAAAAGTTTTCCTTTCATTATTAATGGGAAAAATATATTTTTATTTTTATCATCCTAAAGATATTTACCTGAAATTATAATCATTATCTTCATACCCATAATGACTATGCATAGGCACTTGCCTCTTGGCTGAAAGAGAAATTTGAAAATATCATTTAACATAATTATCATTAATCACTATGTTGGTTACTGATTCAAGTTACTTTTCTTCATTTGTAGCAGTCAGATAATACTACTACTAAGGAAGGTTTTTATTATTATTATTATTATTTCTATAATACAAAATTTGTTATCAAACAGATTTAAAAAAATATTTTTGTATTATCCCGAGGAAAGTTCTGCAAACAAAATGAAAAGCAATTTGCATATCTTCTTTTTCACACTGGATATGTTCATATGTATACCTAAAACTTGAAATGCAAAAGATCATTTAAAAAAAGCAATTTCAGAAGGGATCTAGATTGACGGTATATCTTTATCTTATTTATTACCATCATAGTGGATATCTTTCTCAGAAAAAAATGCTTTATGCCTATTTTAACACTAACACCACCACCTTCACTACAATCATCATCATCATCAGCATTATCATGTCCGAAACTGTTATAAAAATCTACATGAAAATCTTCATTACAATCTCTTCTTTTTCACCTATATTACTGATCTAGTTCATTAAGATACACAAAACTCCTATAACCTTACTATGATCAGCCCCTGTTTCAATATCTGTAATAACTGCCACCGCCTTGACAGGATGTTTGTCAAAAACAGCCATTAAGTAGAAATAGGTAAAAGGAATAGAAGGAATAAAAGAAAGGTGACCCTATTTTACAAACTGCCTACCTACCTTAATATCACTCGCTACCATCCACCTTCTCTCTGTCCCCCTCTCTCTCTACATTATATGGAGAGAAAGAGAGAGAGAGAGAAAGTGAGAGAAAGAGGGGGAGGAGAGAGAGAGAGAGAGATTCATCTCATGCTTTTCTTTCGTTTTTTTTTTTATTTCTCATGTCATCCTCTCTATATTCATTCACCTGTTTCTCTCTTTTTACCTTTCCTCTCTAATCATTGATAGCTTTTCATGATTTTCTATTTCATTCATCCACTTCCTATCCTACTACCTCCGTTCCAGGTTTGTCTTTTTTATCTTTTGTATATTTGTTCTTTTTCATTCCGAACCCCACCATAATCTGCCATTATATATCTCCCTCTCTTGACTTTTTTTTAACCAGCTAATTTTCTTACTTTCATTATCAACACACCTTCTCTTTATGCTAACATTATTTCTTTCTCAGTTCAGTATTTTTCTCACCTTTATTTTCTGATTCTATAATCTCTTTCTTTATCCATATATTTCTTTATTGCAATCACCCTACTGCAACTTTATTATATTATAATTTCACCACTTCTTTCTCTTCCCTTTCTACCTATCTTCTAAACTACAACTCTCAACACCCACCCCTCCTCTCTACCTATCAAATTCATTTATTCCAATTACATATTCTTTTTTTTAATCTTTGTTCCA